ACAACAAATAGATGGATTCAACTAATCTGTATCTTTTGATGGCAGAATTAAGGCCATTGATATTTGGAGTTGGTATGTGAATTGGTAACTGTCATTGTTTTGTGTGTTCTTAATCTTATTTTTGTTTCTGTGCTTTATGCCTTCATTTGTTGATTTTCTATAACCTCTTGAGTATGGTCATTTCTTTAGTCCTTTGTACTGTTTTGAGTGTTCTCTGTAGGGCCGACTTGGTGGACATGAATTCTTTTTTTTTTAAATTAAAAAAAACATTATGTATTTAATAACCACATAATCAGAAGAAGCATTTCATTACAACAGCATTGACATATTCAATAACAATTTCCAGAGCAAAGATGCATCTCTTTCAAAATTGGCTATAAATTTTTAAGTTCACAGTTGAATTAATGCAGTTATACAATATTGAGCTCAGTATAAACCCTATAAGACATAAAATTGAATGAGGTTTTAACCTTTAAAATATACCGTTTCATACAGAAAAACACATTTTTAATGCTACTAACACTTAGATATTTGCACATGAGTCTCTAATCTCTATGTATCTGATTATTACTAGTCCCAGTCAGTTACTTTCTGAGAGCCACCTGAGAATGGGATATAAAATCATTAGGTAGATTTCAGTGGTAATGTATTTCACCTCTACTAATTAACATAAAGCAAATTTTTTATGCTTCTTTCTCAAATATAACTCATTTTAAAAAATGTTTGTGTGCATTTAATACAGAACATCCCAAACAATCTTATTCATCTATAGACCCACATGCCAAATGGCACCCTTCCATAGCCCCCACCCTCCCACTGGAGCCCATATACTCTGTCATCCCTGTTATAGACATGAATTCTTTTAGCCTGTTTTTATCATGGAAGATTTTTCTTTCTCCTTTGACTATGCTACTCAGTCTTGCTAGGTAACGTATTCTGTCTTGGTATCTATGGTCATTTAGAACTGGAAATACTTTGGTTGGGGCTCTTCTGGCTTGCACTGAGAAGTCAGCTATAATTCTGGGTAGTTTTCCTTCATATGTAGCTTGTTGTTTTTCTCTAGTAGCTTTTAGTACTTTTGTACATCTAGTGTTTTCACTATGATGTGCCATGGGGAGTTTCTGTTCTGGTCCTGTCTAGTTGGTGTTCTGTATGCTTCTTGTATCTGTTTGGGTATGTCTTTCCTTAATTAAGGAAGTTTTGTTCTGTTATCCTGTTGAAGATCTGGTCAATGCCATTGGCCTGAGATTCTTCTCCTTCCTCTATGCCTATGATGGATATAGATTTGGTCTTTTCACGTTGTCCCACATTTCCTGTGTATTCCAGTCCTGTGTTATTAAAATTTGTCATATTCTTGGCTTGAGTCATCCAGTCTTGAAATTCTGTTTTCCATTTCATTTATTCTGCTTCTTAAGCTTTCTCTTGTCATTTCAAATTGACTTATGGCATTTTTCAATTCCATCTTTATTTTGGCTTAAGTTTTATTCAATATTTCTCTCTTGTGAATTAACTTTTCAAGTCCTAAATTGTTTAAGTCATTTCATTCAGCCATATATTCATATTTTCTTGCGCTTCAGTTAGAAGTTTATTCCTATCCTCTGAGTTCTTTGAGTTGTTTGTGTGTCCTTTAAAGTCACTGAATTCTTTGGTCAGGTTTATGATTGTTCTTTTATATTCTGCATCTTGGGGTTCCTCTGGGTGGTTCTCATTGTAGTACACTTCTGTAGGAATGGTGGATTTTTGTGGGGACATATTCTCTTGATTTTTCGTATTATTTGTATTTTTATGTTGTGATTTGGACACATGGATTTCTTTTTTTGGTTTTGTGTCTGATATGAAATTCTAATCTGCCTTTGTTTCCTTGAAGATTGGATCTATTTATATAGTTGATGTGGCTTGGTTGCTGTCTGCTATAAATAGTTAGTTGGTCTATGCTTCAGGTTCTCCCTTTCAATTTTTTATTGGCGGGACAGGATGATTTCATGCTGATTAGTGAAGAACCCTCCAGTAGAGTGAAGGGATCTAGGCCCAATTCAAAACTATGGGGATCCAGTGGCTAGATTCTGGCAGCTAGTCAGGAGGTCTCAGGCAGGAAGATCAGGAGGGGAATGTAGGGCCAGGGCCTGGGGTGGGGATAGAATGGGGACGGGACTAACTAAATAGGCAGAGGAGGTGTGGGCCCTGAAGCAGGAGAATGTAGGTAGTCTGGGTACAGAGGGATTAATATATAGTGGGTTGTGTCTGGGTTAGGGGGCTAGTCCAGAGGACTGAGGCAGAAAGAGCAGAAGCAGGCCTAGGCCCAAGGCTGGACTGGGGACAATGTAGGAGAAAGAATATAGCTTGTCAGGGTACAGGGGAATCAAGCCAAGTGGTTACGGTCTGACTTTCCAGGTTAATCTTCAGGTCTCAGGTAGGATGATTAGGAGGGCAGCCTACAGACAAGGCAGAGTTGGTGTGGGCCCTGAAGTAGAAAAATCTCAAAAAGTTCTTTATAATTAAAATAAAGATAATTTTAATACAATAATGGTCAAAATACTTTGCCAAAATAAAGATTATGCATGTTTTATTAATACATTGCTTCATGTATATGACCTTATATATACCAAAATAAATGTAAATTAATGAAGTACTATTTTTTGCTTTTCAGACTGATGAACATGATTTATAGAATATAGAACATAGTGACAAATATATGGGGTAGCTATTTTACTGATGGGAGTGTATATTGGTATGAGTTCTTCAGATGCTAAATTGAAACTTTTTTAAAGACTAATCTTTGACTATGTAATCCATATCTTATAATTTTTCTGACTTTACCTATTACCTATATGTAAAGACATTTTAAGACTGTTTGCAACATTATAATAAAAATTCTGGGAATAGTGTAGTGTCCATCAATAGGGAAATGATTAAATATATTGCTGTAGGTACATGCGAAAGAATGCCACATGAGATAGGTGTGTACACACTTATGTGTACACCCCTGTAATGCTAGCAGTTGGGAAATAAGAGACAAAAAGTTTACTAGTTCAAGGATAGTGTTGGCTGTATAGTGATGTCCTGTCTCAAAAATACCAAAAGAAGTACAAAAGAAAAGATGCCCTTTGTGCTTGATACATTGAGTTAGATTTATAAAACTAATAGTATATTAATATAGGTCAGAAATTGTAGAAAATTTTGTTGTTATATATTTTTTTAGCATGTCATTTGGAAACCTTTGCTGTGCCAGTATTAGGGTAATAATAATGATGAAATGATAGTAGGTTAAGTTTTAAGGTGAGGCAAATGTTATATATACATTTTGGAGTGTAAGAAATTAGTATTATTTGCTGTAACTGAAAAATGCATCTAGAAGGTGTTAAGATCAAATCTAAGACAAATAAAGAGGAATTTAGGAAAGGCATTTCTAATAGGTTCAGGAAAAACCTGAAAAAGGTCTATGGGAAAAAATAAGCAGGAAACTTATGTATAGTTTGGGAAAGGATACTGAAAATGGGCTGAAAGTTGGGGACAAGTCCTCAAGGACCATTTTTATTTTGTCTCTTTTTTTTGGGGGGGGGTCTTTTTGAAACAGAGTCTCCCTGTAGCCCCAGCTGTCCTGGAATTCACTATGTAGACCCGGCTGGCCTTAAACTCACAGAGATCCTCCTGCCTCTGCCTCCCAAGTGCTGGGATTAATAGGCGTGTACCACCACGCTTGGCACTTTCTCATTTTAAAAATTTTTTATTTTTATTACTCTTAATTATGTAGTATGTGTGTATGTCTCTCTGTGGTTTATATGCATATGAGTTAAGTTACTACAAAGACCAGAGTTGTTGGATCCCCTTGGAGCTAGAGTTATAGTAAGTGGGAGCCTCCTGATGTGGGTGCTGGAAACCAAGCTCACATCCTCTGCAAGAACAGTATGCAATCTTAACTGCCAAGTCATCTCTCCAGTCCTCCCTCTCTCTTTAATAAAATAAAATGATGCTGTGATTATGTAGTATTTTTTCAGCTCTTTGAAGAATGGGTTTGTAGAGACAAAAAATGATGACAGGCGAACCTACCAAGGGTCCTTTTTATTTCCATAAGAGAAGGAGGATAGGCAGAATTTTTGTAACAAGAGAACTGGACAGTTCATTATATATTAAGTAATATTTGGCATCTATTATATGTGTGAGAGGTGAGGGATAAGGAACCAAATAGAACCATGTGGAGCCAGCCTAGCTTACATAGTGATTTCCAGGGTAGCTCAGGCTACATAGTGAGACCCTGCCTCAAACAAAACAAGAAAACACAACACACAAAACAGAAAACAAAAAAGCCATGGAAGGCTGATAACCTGAGTTTGATACCAGAGACCATGGTGGAAAAGTAAAGGATATATTATTAAGAAGTATTTGATGAAGAAAGGAGTGGTCCCAAAATGCAGATTCTACAGCCTTTTGTGTTTCAGATTTATTTGCATCTCTGGGTTGTGAGCTCCATGAGGAGGAGGTATTTCTGTATCTCTATCATTCAACCCTGACATTAGCTATTACCCTGACTGGGAAAATTAAAAAGAGACTACTTCATATTTTTCCTGTGCTTTCTAAGAAATTATATGGCTCTGTGATGATGGGATAAGTGGATAAGGGTTATGTAATACCGCATTTGTACAGCTCTAATCAGTGGGCCTGAACATAGTGCTTGATGACAGCACAATGAAATTGATTGAATTTAAATTACCACACATTCATGCTTGAGTTTTACTTGTTTTCAAATTTGTTACTTACTTTGACTCTTTATAGAAGGTGTATAAGATAGGTATCATTTATGAATTTTCTCAGTAAATGAAAAAATAGAGTCCCAGACCATGAAATGCCTTCTAAAACAGAGTCATAGAGGATAAATAAGGATTAAAATCCAGATGTCTTGATTTTGATGAACTTTTCTGTCTCTTAAATCACACTAGTTTATAATTTTGTTATTATTGCCTTTATTCCTTATTTAAGTCTTAATTTTGCATTTTATTTTTAAGAGCTGGGCGCTGCAGACCTGGAATTTGTTTCCGTCTATTTAGTAGACTCCGATTTCAGAATATGTTGGAATTTCAGACTCCAGAACTTTTGAGAATGCCATTACAGGTAGAAACTTACTTAAATACAAAAGGCTTTGTTTTGTGTGTGAGGGAAGAGAGGTGTTATTTCAATTTCTATGCATTGGACTTTGTCAGTTTACAAAACAAAATTGTAAGTTAAATGTTATGAAGAGGGCTATTTCTATAACAAAAGATTTTTGTTGCACATTTTAATTATGGGGCAGTTCATAAGTGCATATATATATATATATATATATGTGTGTGTGTGTGTGTGTGTGTGTGTGTATGTTTTTTTAATTGCAGCATTTTAAGAGTCTCAGTTACATGCTACAGTGTATGAATGTATGAGTGGAGCTCAGAGGACACTTGTGGGAGTTTGGTTCTCTTCCTCCACAGTGTGGGTCTCAGGGATCAAATTCAGGTTTCCAGGCTTGCCAACAAGTTCCTTAACTGAATGAGCCATTTTACTGGCCCAGTTTTATTTTTTTATTTTTTGGGTTTTTTTTTTTTTTTTGTCCTTTTGAGACAGGATCTCCCTGTTGCTCCAGCTGGCCTGGAACTCACTATGTAGACCAGGTCGGCCTTGAACTCACAGAGATCCACCTGCCTCTTCCTCCCCAGTGCTGGGATTAAAGGTGTGCGCCACCACACTGGGCATTGGTTTTTTGTTTTGCTTTTTTTTTTAATTTTATTTTTTGTGTATGAGTGTTTTGTCTGCATGTATGTAAATGCAGTTATGTCATGCAATGCCTGTAGAGGCCAGAAGAGGTGTCTGAACCCCTGGAAACAGGATTTAGGAATAGTTGTTAGCTGCCATGTGGGTGCTGGGAACTGAACCTGGGTCTTCTGTAAGAGCAGTCAGTGTTCTTAATCTCTGAGCCATCTTTCCAGCCCCCAGTTTTAGATTTTTTTAAGCACATCTTGTTTTCTTCTACTATGCTACATATATTATCCCAGTTTTTAAATTCTTCTTTCTTTTATAATAAACTCCTTCTAAATCTTTATATCTTAGTTTGTCATGTCTTCTAGAAAACTACCTTTGATTTTCCCTGGCTTCCCTCTCCTGCATTTTCTGGAAACTTGATTACATTTTATTTTACCCCTTTGGAATCCAGTGTCCTCATAAGCACTTATACTAAGTTGCTGACTAGATAAGTTTTTGCTAAAGTAGTTTGAGGTCTGTTTTTCCCTGTAAATTCCATGAGAGTAGACACTGTTCTCTTTTTCTCTAACTTTGTGTTGCATAGTACCTTATGCATAGAAAGCACCTATTTGTTGAATGGATAAAAGAGTCTAGAATATAGTGAGCATAAAGGGGGAAAATGATTTCTTTTTTGGATGATGACTCTAATTGTTAGGTGTAAGAACTATGTGAGAAAATGTTGCCGGGGGACAGTGGTCATTTTGGCATGAGTTGATAGAGGGTGTTCAATAAGGTTCTTGCACCTAGTGCAAAGTATAAGCATGTTTCATTGAAGATGGTGCTACTTCTATTCTTTTGAATCCGAGACTCTACTAGTCTGTGTTTGGGGAATATATTTCTCACAATCTCTTTAAAAATCCAAGTAGGGGCTGGAGAGGTGGCTCAGCAGTTAAAAGCACTGACTGCTCTTGCAGAGGATCTGGGTTTACTTCCCAGCACCCACATGGCAGCTAACAACCATCTATAACTCCAGATCCAGGGAATCTAGTGCCTTCTTGCCTCTGCAAGCATTGCACAACATGGGTGTAGTTTACCTACATGCAAGCAAAACACTCATACACATAAAATAAATAATAGTCATACCAGGAATGGTTGGTGCACACTTTTAGTCCAGGAGGCAGAGATAGGCAGACATCTGTGAGGTCCAGACCAGCCTCATCTACATGGTGAGTTCCAGGCCAGGTTGGGGTGTTGCGGGGGAATGCTACAGGGAGACCCTGTCTCAAAAAACAACAAAAAGTCAATACTTTTTATTTATTTATTTAATTATTTATTTGTTAGAAATGATTAATACTTTTAGAAAAGTGGCAGGTTACAAAATAACTATAAAAAGAAAACTTATAGGCTTACAAAAACTCATAGGCTTTCTATATACTAATAAGAAGCAATAAGAAAAAGTACTCAAGGAAGCCCTCCCATTCTCAATAGCCTCAAAAAATTAAAATATTTAGGAATAAACCTAGCCAAAGACATTAAAGATCTCTACAATGAAAATTTCAAAACTCTAAAGTAAGGATACTATATTTTTAATGTTTCAAAATTATTTGATGATTTGATTTACAGGAGCTTTGTTTACATACCAAACTATTAGCCCCAGTTAATTGTACCATTGCGGACTTCCTTATGAAAGCTCCAGAACCTCCACCGGCTTTAATTGTAAGAAATGCTGTCCAGATGCTTAAGGTTGGTATCGTAACTGTTAGTTTTTTAACTTGAAATTTAAACTAAATGAGAATGACATTAATAATACTCTTATAATTAAAAATAAGTAAAATAGTAGGTTTAGTTCTTTTATATGCGTTTATTTAATATAAACTGTATTTTATGAGATATGACAGCAAATGCATATTTGTATTGTTTCATATTTACTGGGTGTTTAAGCTGAACATAATTTTTGATTTTGTTAATTCTGTTCTCTCTCATTTTGCTTAGACAATCGATGCAATGGATACATGGGAAGATCTGACTGAACTTGGGTATCATTTGGCTGACTTGCCAGTTGAACCACATCTTGGTAAAATGGTCCTATGTGCTGTTGTTTTAAAGTGTCTGGATCCCATCCTCACAATTGCCTGCACACTAGCTTATCGAGATCCTTTTGTACTGCCTACCCAGGCCTCTCAGAAACGTGCAGCTATGCTTTGTAGAAAACGTTTCACTGCAGGGACTTTCAGTGACCACATGGCACTTCTTAGAGCATTCCAGGTACCGTTATTCTTGTTTATTTCTACAGATGCTTTGTTAAACACATTTCTGGGGCATTTATAGTAAAGCAGTTTAAAAACTAAAAGTAAACAGTAATAAGATTCCATTAATTTTGTTTTACTTAGGCAGTCCCATTTTATTAATAGACCAGAAAAATCTAATTTCTCTTCATTTGTTAAAATGATCAGTTTGTCTCATTTGTCCTCCCCCCATTTTCTCCTGTTGAAACTGTATGTATTTAAAAACAGAATAAAGTTTGAAAGAAAACTATCTTCAATTTAGTATTGTATTTTAAACACTTTTATTAAAAAACAGAGTTTCTTTTCCTTGTGTACTCAAGGCACTATGCCAGAAATTTAATTTTATAAGCAGAAAATCTAAAAATCACTTAAAAACCTTTGAAAATAATAGAAATTAAATAAAGAAAAAGATAGGGAAGTGGCCTCTGAGGAGAGAAATGGAATGTCATTTAGAAATTCAGATATGTAGGGAAGAATATGTAATTTCTTAAAAGTAGATGTCTTTTTATCACTAAATTAGCTTGACTATAGGCAGTTCCTTTATGTATATTCTTACATTTCTTTTTGTATGGAAAACAGTTTTTCAGGCTTTCTAGATTTTTCTGACACATGTAATTTAAAGAAATAACCACAATCTTTTTAAATGAATATTACTGAGTGATAAATGACTCATTGTTATTAATTGCAGTATTAGATAACATATATTGTGATCAATTAATAGTGACCATTGAAGAGAAATTTGATATAGAACTCTTGTTTTCTTTGTTTACAACTTCTTCTGAAACAGATGAGATAAGTTACTGCTTTGGTCTTCTAGTTATATTCCAAACAAGAGAACTTATTTTCAAAGGCCAGGTTTTTATACTCTGCCTATATAATTTCTAGAAATCCCATTTTTAATTTCCAGACAAATTGGGAGGGAGGTTGATATATGAGTTATTATTATTATATTTTAGTTTCAGATTCTTAACTATGAAAGTATTATAATAGTTTAGTTGAAAGGCTCCCACAGTTTTGTGTAATGAACTAATAGATGTATCTGAGAAGGCAGATATTCACAAACCTGGTCCTTTGAGTTACCTCATTTAGTTCTCATTGGATTCTATAAACTCAGTGGCCATAATAGCAGTTCTATATAAACTAATGATAAATTTTATTTGATTACAAAGTCTTAGTCTTAAGGCCAGGCCTGGTGGCACACACCTTTAATCCCAGCACTCAGCAGAGGCAGGTAGATTTCTGTGAGTTCAAGGCCAGCCTTGGTCTCAAAAAGGCCAAGGGGGAAAAAATCTTAGTCTTTGTAAATTTATCAGACTAAAAATTTGCATTGAGTAATTAATGTAGTGATATTCAGTTATGTTGTTGACTCACTAAGAAGTAATATGTCTTGTTATATATTCTCTTTTTATAGGCATGGCAAAAAGCACGAAGTGATGGGTGGGAGAGAGCCTTTTGTGAAAAGAATTTTCTCTCACAAGCTACCATGGAAATAATTATAGGCATGAGAACACAGTTGCTTGGTCAACTTAGAGCATCAGGTAAAGTTTCCCCACAAAAGAATCTGTTTACACAGCTTCAGCTAGTACCCTATACATAGTGTTTTTAGTATTAAACTAATGCCAGTCTTTATTACTTCTATATCACATTATATGTCTAATTAACTGATTTTTAAACTTTTCTGTCATCTGAACTTTACCTGTTGAAATAAAATATTGCACAAGTTGTGGTGGGAAACTATGGGTAGAATCAATACTTTTGATACTGTTGGCAGTGAATAATTTGTTGTTAAAAGTCAATTTAGATTTAGTAGGTACTTTCTTTTGCTACTACCAGTAAACAGTTATTTAATTCTATGAAATAAAAATCATGCAAACTTAAGTAAATTGATATGAAGGCTGTGTGTATAGTTTTGGAACCCTAAAATGACTAGTAAACAATTGAAGGCACTTCTTTTCTAAGAGGACTCTAGTTAGTGTTTTCTTTTAGAATTGCTGCTTTGAATTTTTTAAGTAGCATAGTTAATTGAAATGATAATCACAAGAAAAGTATCAGAATCTGGATTTATGGGTTAGCTTAATAGAAGAAAATGATTGGAGGATTGAGTTGTTTCAAATATGGTGAATTATGAATGAGTTTTTGAAATTTAATGGCCCACAGATAAAAACTTGATCACATCTCTATGGTTCATGCTTTTGAAAACCAAAACATTGCTAATAAAGTGAGAATGGTTTGGGTTCTAACTGTGAACGTAGTATGTATGTGATAGCAGATGATAAAGAACTTTACTGAAGAATGTGCAGGTAGAGCCAGGCACCATGACTTCACACCTACATTTCTAACACTCAGTATTCTGAAGCAGAATAAGGAGTTCAGAGTCAGTCTGGGTTATATAATGAAGCCCTGTCCCAATAAATACTGTACTTAATATAGCCTGAGCAGGTCTAAACTTTCCTCTATTACTTCTGTATTTTAGACTCTCTAGAATGGATTATTTTAATCGGTGGATTTGAATATTGTTAAATTTAGATGAGTTCTACAGATTTTTTTATTGTTAAAAAAATGTACACAGATGTTTAAAGTATCTTTTTGCATAATAGAAAATTTTTGATATGTTCTTTTTCCCCATCCAGGTTTTGTTAGAGCCCGAGGTGGTGGTGACATTCGAGATGTTAACACAAACTCTGAGAACTGGGCTGTTGTTAAAGCTGCATTGGTGGCAGGCATGTATCCTAATCTAGTCCATGTGGACAGAGAGAATGTAGTATTGACAGGGCCAAAGGAAAAAAAAGTACGATTTCACCCCACTTCAGTTCTCAGTCAGCCTCAGTATAAAAAGGTAAAACATTTTTAATATTTGAATGGCCTTGAGGTGGTTGAATTTACATAGTTGAGGGTCAACCAAAAATACTCCAAATACCTGTCTGCTTTAGGAAATTAATTTGTCGTATATGTATAATGAAGTTTAAATCTTAGAGATGGACAAGGAAACATTGGAGAAGTAGAGAGGACTTGTATATAAATTACAAGAGCATTGATTTGCTTTAATTTTTATTTGGGTGCAAAGCACATCCTCCATTTCACTAGAGAACTTAAAAATATTCCCAATAAATTAAGTAATTAACAAATTTTTAATTTACTTTCTTTAATAGATTCCTCCAGCCAATGGTCAGGCAGCAGCGATCCAGGCACTTCCCACAGATTGGCTTATTTATGATGAAATGACCAGAGCCCATAGAATAGCTAATATTAGATGTTGCTCAGCAGTGACACCTGTGACTGTATTGGTGTTCTGTGGACCAGCGAGACTGGCAAGTAATGCTCTCCAGGAACCTTCTTCCTTTAGAGGTAAATGTATTATGAAGGGATTAAAAATGTATTTGAGGGGCTGGAGAGATGGCTCAGTGGTTAAGAACACTGATTGTTCTTGCAGAAGACCTGGGTTCGAATCCCTGCACCCACATGTCAGCTAACAATTGTCTGTAACTCCAGTCTCAAGGGATCCAACAGCCTCTTCTGACCTCCGTGGGCATTGCACGACACAGGTGCACTTAGGTACATGCAGGCAGTACACGCATACACATAAAATAAAAAAATTAAAAAAAATTTTAAAACTATTTGAAATTAACTGAATCAAAAATGTTATAAAATTCCAAAAATTTGTGTAGTTTGTTAATAACATGAGACAGTGAGGAGCTATATGAGGGACTGTGAGACAGGAAATACTAAAGTATAACACTGTTACTGACTTCTTAGGCAATGCAGTGTGGGTTTATTTTTATTTATCTTGCTGATGGGAAGAAGTTTGTTTTTCACTTGAATTTAAATAATATAAATTAATTTTTAAAAGAGTCACTAATATCCTTGTCTTTATGCCAACATGTTTTAATATTGCATTTTTTCTACTTGTTTATATATTTTAATTGTTTTTGATGTTACTGTTTTATACTTTTTCATTATATCAGAATATTGAAAGCTTTTTAATGTTTCATTTTAATATTCTGTCTCATCCAAGTGACATAGTGCATTTAAAGTATTCCTTTAAAAGTTAGCTATTTTGATAATTTTTAATTTTTCATTACTCAGTAAATCAATAAACACTTGTCAGATACTAAGTTATGAATGAGTAACAGGAAACAAAGTTACTTCTGTCCTCAGGATTTTACATAGTAGAGACTGTAGACAGCTAGTAAGTGCTTTCAAGGAGGTATGAAGAGGGTTACTCTACTTTTGAAAGATCCTGCACAAGTTACTCTTAAGGACAGGAAACTTAAATTGAAACCTAAAGTAAGAGAAGAAGCCAATGGTGTGAAGAAGCAAAAATGTTTTACAGATAGAAGTAAGATGGGAACCTCCAAGGTTCTTTGGTAGGAAATTATCAAGGAACTAACAAAGGCTACATGGTTCATGGCACACTTAATGAGTGTTGGTTGGGTGGTGAGATAAGGTGGAAAGGAAGGCATGGATTTGTAGGTCATAGTCAGTGTAAGGGAAGCCATAAAGGATTTTGACTTTAGGGTGTGAGGGCATGTCATTTTTGTTTAAAGTGATCATTTTAGCTGAGGAGATGAGTTGATGAAGGGACAGGAATGGAAGAGTAGAAACAGGTAGGGAGCTCTTGCAGTGATGCGTTGTGATGGGTGATCACTCAGAGCTAGGGTAGGAGCAGCTAATATGAAGACAAATTCAGAATTAATTTGAGGTGCTAATATCTGCTGGATTGAATATGGTTGAAAAGGGAGGAATCAAATATAACTCAGGTTTTGATTACAGTAGTGTGCTGAATGATGCCCTTTTAAATTTATTCTCTCTCTCTCTCTCTCTCTCTCTCTCTCTCTCTCTCTCTCTCTCTCTCTCTCTGTGTGTGTGTGTGTGTGTATGAATATGCTCTATGTGCAAGTTGTGAGGGGGATGCCAGAAGAGTGTACTTGCTGCCTATTTCTTTAAGGCAGGATCTTGCCCTGAACCTGAAACTTGTGCTTTCTCAGCTAGGCTGGAAGCCCTCAAGCCCCAGCTAGTCTCCTGTCTCCACCCCAGTGGAGCTGGGGTTATAGGTATGGGAACGATGCCTGCCTTGTTATGTGGATCCTGGGACCCTAATTCTGGTCCTCCAGACTGTGTTGCAAGTGTTTGCAACCACTGAGCAATCTCTCCTGCCCTGGTACCCTTATTTGAGACTGAAAAAGTAGAAGGAGAAGGCTGTGAAGAAGAAAAGTTGGGAGGTCTTTTTAGATGTGTTTAAGACTGAGATGGTAAAGACATCCTAATTGTTTTTGGAAGACAGTCGGATATCTGGAACTCTTTGAACTCATGAAAGATGCCTGGGCAGTACAAATTGGGAGCACACAGATTATAAATTATATTTTACTGATGAGACTATATTTCCATAAGAGCATGTATAAATTAGGAGAGGAAGAGTAACCCAGTATTGAGGTAAATATGTTTTAAGAAAGGAAGAGACAGATTTGTTGACTATTAACTTTAAAATATAGAAAAAGATATGGTTTAAAAAGTATAAATTGTATTTCCCAGTATGGCATTTATCAATGATATTGTCAAGAGCAATTTCAGTGGCATGATGGGCTCAGAGGGGTTTGAGTCAGATGGATAGAGTAGAAACTGCATGGTAGAAACCCAGTGTGTTGGTGTGCCTCTGTAATCCCAACACTCAGGTGGCAGAGGCAGGAGGATTGCTGCAAGTTCAAGGCCAGCCTGGTTTATATAGTGAGTTCTAAGGCCAGTTAAGGCAACATAGTAAGATACTGTTTTAAAAAAGTTAAAACTTCATGGTAGATAATTTATTAGGAAGTGGATATGGTAGGGGTTGTTGATACATTTTTCATTCATTTTATATATTTTCCTTGGGTTAAAATTCTTATAAGTAGTAATTACTTGATAAAAGTATATGAATGTTATTTGTGGTTCTTTCTCTGTACCTAGGCCTTCCAGAGTGAATGACTTTTTTCTTAGAGTTGCCATAATTGTTAGTTTTCGAAAAGTTGTTTGCTATGTAAAAAAAAAAAAAAAAAATGCAAATGAAATAAATATCTAAATTTTTTTTTTTTTTGCTTTTTTTTTTTTTTTGCTTTTTTTTTTTTTTTGTCTTTTTGAGACAGGGTCTCTCTGTAGCCCCAGCTGGCCTGGAACTCACTATGTAGAACAGGCTGGCCTTTCTTTTGCACTTTTGATTCTGTTCTTTTCAAGAAGTAATTCTCCATGCAATAGTTTGTGTTTTAGTTATTTCATCGCTTACCCATTTACTTCATTTGAATACTGATATTTCTCTTTAAAATTTGAATTATGGTTCTATTTTCTTAGTTACTAATTTATAAATTAGAGTAGTAAGTTTCCATATGGGGTTTTCATACATAATTTTAGTTGATTCTCCCCAGTCCCACTCTCCTTCTCTCTGCCCTCCTCTGCCCATTATACCCTATGCCCCCAGAATTCTCCTTTCCATTTTGTTCTGTTGTCTTCCCCACATCCCCTCTCTTAAAGCCTTTTTTCTTTCCCCCAGTGAAATGGGCCTCTTGCTAGTTTCCTGGCCTTTACCCATATTTGTTCCCATTTGGATACACATATTTAAAATATGCTAGGATCTTCATGCTAGAGACTAGGATCTATATACTTACAGGCTAGAATCTGAGCCTGGGCTTACCTTGCTTAATGTAATGAATGTTTCCTGTTCCACAGGTGTTCTTACAAATTTCATAATTTGATTTTTCTTTGTAATTGAAAAAGATTTCATTGCGTTTATGTACCACATTTTTATTTATCTGTTGATGATCAGCTAGGAAGATTCTATTTCCTTGTTCTTATGAAAAGAAGAGTGTACATGGATATGTAAGGATCTCTAAAATAGGATGCAGAGTCCTTTGGATATTTGCACAGGACTGGTATAGCTGGGTCATTTGCTAGTTCTATTTTTAGCTTATATTCCATTGGTTTACATTTCTGTCTTTGTGCCAGTACCATGCTGTCTTTATCACTGTAGCTCTGTAGTATAATTTGAAGTTGAGTAATGTGAGCTCTTCAGCTATGTTTTTTCTGCTTACTGTTGCTTTGGCTGTCTGGTCGTTTGTGTCTTCATATGAATTTTATTTCGTTCTAGTTCTGTCCTCAGAAGAATGTCTTTGGACTTTGATTGGTATTGCATTGTCTATAGATTGCTTTTGGTAATATAGCCATTTTCACAATATTCAGCCAACCTAGGAACATGACTTTATGGTTTTAAAGATGCTAGCATTTTTATATTTTAAGTTGTATATATTCAAATTGAGTAATTTTATGCTATTTACTTTCAAAGCTGGGAAAATTTAATACCTGTGTTGCTGTGACAAGTATTGTTTTCTGTAATTTGAAATTTTAAGATTTATTTTTCTTAATGAAGTGAGTTTTGATTTAAAGTATGCCCCCTTCACTTTTTGTAGTATTTCACCCTCATCTGCACCATTTATTGAGTTATACTTATATGGAAAGCTTAAAAATGCCTGTTAAATTTAGCATTTTATAGACGCTTTGTGTATATTCTTGTATCTTCCTGAATATAAACATGTTTCATTTACATTGTACCTTTGTTTAGTATTTTTATTTAACAATAAGTTCAGTGTCTATTAGTGAGACTCTACCTGTAAAACTCTGTTGCCTTTCTGTTACTAAAGTATTTGATAATTTTACCAATTTAAAAAATCTAGTAATTGTCTTCATGTATTCCTTTCTGAAAGCAACAGCTCTTTTGTGATTTTAATATTTTCTTCCAGGAAGTTTAGCATATTTTCTTTAGCTGTACCTTATAATAAGTTCAGTAGTACCTTTTGGCACCTTTTATAAAGATTGGGCATATTTCTTAAGACTTAAAAAAATTGTTACAGTGAGTGGGTTTCCTGTTTCACTTCCTTGCTGATCTTGTTTAATAGGCATTGTATTACATTATATTTTAGTTACCCTGTTAATTTTGCTAACTTCCTATTAATCCTTTGGAGTCTATGTTTAATAGGTTATATTATGATCAGGTACACAAACTTCTATTTCTTACTGACCCTTTTTTGCTTGTATTTCTTTTGCCAGACCTTTTGTTAGTATAGTTGAATTTTAAAGGTTTAAATTCTAACTTTGTAGCATTACATTAATTTTTGCTTTGATAGCATTTTTATTCTTAATGTATTTTTTTAATTGAAGTTTTATGTATTTCATACACCTTAATCATATTTAGATCCCCTGCCCCCAACTGTTACCCCCCCAATTTCATGCATTCTGTCATATATATTAAGGCCTATCAAGTCATGTTTGTACCCAAATGTCTCTTGGTGCAAGTTCATCCACTGGGAGTCTAGTCAACCTGTCTAGTCACTCCCATAAAGAAGATCAACTCTCTCTCTCCCAGCAGTAGTAATCAGTTGCTAATAGTTCCTCAGCTAAGGTTGGGACCTGCTGCCCATTTTCCCCAGTTCTATGCTAGGTTTTGTCTGATTGAGTCTGCATGGGTCTTGTGCATGCTGTCACCATTGCTGTAACTTCGTATGAGCAAGTTTCCAGAGGCCTGAAAGGCTCTGTTTCCTTATATTCATGCATCAACCCTGACTCTTACAAATCTTTCTGCCCCCTCTTCCACAGTGATCACTGAGTGAGGTTTAATATGGGAGTCCTATCTAAGGACATGCACTCTGCAGTCTCTTCTTGGCTTAATGGCATTTTAAATTAAATTAAGGAAGATCTTTTCTGTTTTATAAAAAAGTGTTGAATTTTTAAAATAACTTCTGACCATTTTTTTCATGTAATGAGATTTGTTGAGCCTACTGATACTATGTATATATTTCTTATGGAATTACTATTTTCTTCTGCAAATGTGCTTTCTTTGTGCCAAGTATGATTCCACATAATAGTCTAGCATTGAATTTAAAACTATTAAAAATTTATGTTCATTTTGGCAATAGAGTTTGAGTAGTTTACGCATCTGCACATTCAGTTGTCTTTGGAATTTAGGTGTTTTCAGGATTTTGTGACTTTTCCAAGGGAGATGTGAACAAATGTCTACTCACTTCATATAGGGCATAGATGACAAACCAAAGAATCAGTTCCACCAAGATCTAGTTTGATGAACCACTGTGTTTGTTGGAGTTACACTAGAGCATGCTTGAAGGGTTACTTAGAGGAACTTTGGGAATCAGGCAGCTGCTTTACTAGTAAAGCCCACCGCAGCATTGGTGATGACTTAAGAAAACTTCATCAGTGGAGTTACTTATAACTTGCAGGCGCTCCACCTGAGTCTTTTTTTTTTTCCCCTCAGCATTTGCATATTGCTTGTATAACCTTGGGGAGTTAGGAGTTTTGTAACTTTTATGAGCTCCCAAAGTTTTGTGACTCCCCCCCCCCCCCCAGAAGGGACTGTTTTCCAGTCTGGAGATAATAGCTTTACAAGAAGGATTTGTCTCTTTAAATGAATTGGTCATTATTTCATTGCTTGAAAATTTGATTTATTAGTGTAGATTTTTTTGTTGATGCCTTTTTAGAACATCTTTAGTTTTTTTCTTTAATAGAGTTAAATTTTCCTATATCTTGTTCTTTCGCTTTTACTATTTTTTGTAGTCTATAATAAAACATTTTTTAAGATTCTTAAATTGATTTTATAGTTATGCATACTATATCCTTAGCTTGTATTAATTTTGTAGTACATCCAGTTTTTTTCATTTCTGCTTTAGATTTGTGTTTTGTTTGAGCTTTATTAAATTTAAAGTTGTCAGCTAGAAAAGGTGGTGCATGCCTTTAATCCCAGCACTCCAGAGACAGAGGCAGGTGGATCTCTGTGAGATTGTGGCCAGCCTGGGCCACATAGAGAGTTCAGGCCAGCTAGGGTTACAAGGAGGACCCCCGCCCCCACCCCAGTTTGAGTTGTCTATTAGTATCTTTTTGGAAACATATATCATAATTTTTGCCATTATTGATATTTTGTCTTTTTAACTTACCAACTTTTCCCACTTCTTACTTTCTTTGGGTCTTATGCTATCATTTTAAGATGTGTAATTTTCTTTTCCTTTGTGAATTTCCATGAGTAATACTTTTGAGCATTTTCCATATTTTTTGTGTGTAGATCTTCCATATTTTTGTGTATATTCTTTGTTTCTTATAAAGCCAGTTATGTATTGTTTTAAATTTTAAATTCTTTTTCATCATGTTTTATTGAATGTGATTAGATTGTGATCTTTTGAAATGCCTCTTTTTCAAGTTATTTTGAAATATTTTTTTCCTTTATTTTGTCCTTTTTAATTTTAAAAATTTTATAATTTATGTGAGAGAGAGAGAGAGAGAAAGAGAGAGAGAAAGAAAGGGAGGGAGGGAGAGGTGTGAGTGCGTGCACATGTAGGGATCAGAAGATAACTTTCTGGAGTTTGTTTCCTCTTTCCTTGGTATGTTTTGGGAATCAAATTCAGGTTGTCATGCTTGTGTGATAGGGAGTGCTCTGGCTGGCCAACATTTTATATATTTAGATTACGTTTATAATCTGTGTGAGTAGGTTTACTTCCTACACAATCATTAGACTGTCAGGAGGACTTTTGCACATAGAGTTATCTGTTTTGCTTTTTGCCATTATGTAAGATGGTAAAGTGATTTATTCCTTCAATATATGTTGTGACAGCGGATGGCATCCCCAATGACAGTAGTGATAGTGAAATGGAGGACAGAACTACTGCTAATTTTACTGCTTTGAAACTTGATGAGTGGCTTAATTTCAAACTAGAGCCAGAGGTAAGTTGCTTTTTCATAGGCCTTAAATTTCAGTTAATATGAATGGAAATGGCATGTTATAAAAATTTATCTTCACTATTGAAACCATATAATATTAATGAATACCTACAGCTTGTTTTTCAGTTTTTGTAGAGTGCTCATGCATTCTCTCCTCTATTGGCATCTTCTAACAGGACTCAGAAAACCTAGATATGGCTCAGTATTTATGCATGGCCATATCTTAGTCCATTTGTGATGCTATAACAGAATACCATAGACTAGGCAGATTTTAAAAACAGAAATTTCTCAGTCCGAGATCAAGGTGCTGGTGAGAGCTACTCTTTTTCCAAGATGACACCTTAAATGGTGTGTCCTCACATGGTAGAAGACTGATGTGCAAAAGGGATCGACTCCGTCTATGAAACCTTTTCAGAGGGACATCCCATTCTGGTACCTTCCTAGGGCCACATCTCCCAATACTGTTACAGATTGTTTCAACATGAATTTTTAGAGGAACCAAAAACATTTAAGGTATAGTAATAATATATGTGTGTGTTTGTGTTTGTGTGTGTGTATGTGTGTGTATAAAATGAGTATTTGAGTACAGGAGAACAGCCTTTATTTTGACCATTTCTGAGTGAAATATGAATTTATTCTATTTTCATAACTGAATTGGGAGATAAATTTTTATTTTTCATATTTAAAATTTTCTTGGCACAGCCTTTCCTTAATTCCAGGCCTACATTTTATGATCATTTTATGTCTGTTTTGGGGACAACAGAACTGTCAGTAGTCAGCTTTGACTAAGTTCACTCTTTTAAACCATCTTCTCTGTTTACTAATTTAGCTCTTCAGCCTTCTATAGTCTCATTCTCATTCACACTAACCCTTTACGTCACAGAAAGAACTGGCCAAGATTAGCTGCCCTCCTCTGTTATTAAAGTCAGTCTTTGACAACCCCTCTCCTGATACTTGACACTATTGTCCATCACTTCCTTTTTATAATCCTGCCCTCCATTTTTTCTCCTCAGTCTTAAAAGTTCTTTGTCTTAAAGTCGATCATTTTTCTTCCTTCATAGTCATTCTGTCTTAGGTTGTTTCACTGACTCTTAAGCATGTGCTTGTGCACTAAATTTTAGATATTTGTGCCTCAAGTGTTAACAATTCTAGTTCCCCATGCTTTGTTCTTTTCTCTACACAATCGCTGAGAACCTTACCTCTCTGTGTAGATTTAATAACTGTGAATGCACTGATATTTCTCAAATTTATACCTAGCTTAGGCCTTCTTGTGTCCATTTGCCTTCTGACCATCATCATTTGGATGTTCTGTAGATACTTGAGTATGAAATGAGTAGATGTATTTTTCTAAATACATCTAAACTAAATGTATTTTTCACCTTTTACCTTGCTGCTACCTTTTCAGTATTAACCACACACTGCCACAACCATTATTTTCTGTGTCCCTCATTATTGGTTCATCTTACTGTATTTTCTAGTGTCTAGACTATATAATGACTGATAAGTTTATTTGTGTAATAGAATGGATGAAATTAAATTATATTAAATGTAAGATATGTTCTTTAGAAACAGTTATAGAGCATAACTATGAAAAGAAACTTACTGGGATAGAGAGATGGCTCAGTGGTTAAGAGCTCTGGCTGCTTTTACAGAAGACCTGGGATTGGTTCCCAGCACCCACATGGTGGCTAACAACTGTTTGTAATTCCAGTTCCAGGGAATCTGACATCCTCTTCTAACCTTCATGGACTTCTCAAAACACTGGTACATTTGCATCCAGGCAATATACTCATATACATAAAACAAAATATAAATAATAAATAAAATGTTAAAAAGAAACTTCTTGTATATATGATATATATTTTGCTTGTATTTGTTTGAACTGAGAGGAAACTTTTATTACAGGCTGCCAGTTTATTGCTACAGCTCAGACAGAAGTGGCATAGCTTATTTTTACGCCGAATGAGAGCTCCATCTAAACCTTGGTCTCAAGTTGATGAAGCTACTATACGAGCAATTATAGCTGTTTTAAGTACTGAAGAACAGTCTGCAGGCTTACAACAACCATCTGGAATTGGTCAGAGGCCAAGACCCATGTCGTCAGAAGAACTTCCTTTGGCTTCATCTTGGAGGTCAAATAATAGTAGGAAAAGCTCAACAGATACTGAATTTGCTGATGAATCTGTAGCAGAAAGGTAAATGTGTAGCATTTTATCTAAATGGGAGACATTTAGGAAAATGAATTATACAATTTAATAATGATTTTCTTATAACCTAGGATGCATAAAAACATTACATTAAAATGGAGTTCATCACTTTTAAGATAATTCTTATAAGTGCTAAGGGATCATGGATTGTTTTAAGTTGGTGTTTATGAATTATTTAATAAGGCCATTCTTTCAGGAAAAACAAAATGTTTTATATCCAGAATTCATAAATTTAAGCTTTCTTCAGAAGAAAATAAATTTAGAAATTATATATTTTAGTGGATACATGTCAAATGACATTTTCCTAGATGGCTGTAATGAGAAGTATGGACATTGCTGTTTAAAGATCTAGTGTCGGTGCTGCTGACTAGCATTCCTACAGATAATGTATTGCTTATTCGTTTGGTGGTACACTAATGCCAGTTGTTTGTGTGAGGGGTATGACACTAACAACAAATAAGATCTCTTGTTTCAATCCAGCAGAATTGCTATTTCCCTACTTGCCAAAAATTGTAAACTTGAATCCAGACTTTGTACTATGGTGTTTTGTTTCTTGGATGCATTGTTTATAGAGTATTTCCTAAGTTGTCATTTTTGAAGAAATTAAGTCAGATCTACTGTGAGATGTTCAACATTCTGGATTGGTGTCTTTCTTTCCTCCTAGAATACTATAATCCTTTTGGGGGAGGGGGTTGGAGGCAGGTTCTCATTATATATCCCTGACTGGCTTGGAACTCCCTGTGTAGACTAAGCTAACTTCCAACTCAGAGAGATCCACCTGCCTTTGCCTCCTGGATTGCTAGGATTAAAGGTGTGCAATACCGTGCCTGGTGAATCATTATCTTCTGTTTATTCCATGTAATCTAGTGATTGGCTTTTAAGGCTTGATCAGATCCAATACGTTGGTCAGAGTATTTTATAAATGGTGTTTTGAACTTTGTGTTACAAGCAGAAATTATTTGCTGTCTGGTTGTACCACAGAATATCAACCATATTTTTTAATTACAAAATTTCTTAAATGATAAGTGTGTGGTGTTTATTCATATAATTTTAGAAGAGTCTTAGAGTTTATCCAGGATAATTAACAAAGAAATTAACATTCAGGAACATGCGCAGGATTATATACTAGGTAGCTATACATCTAGTGCTGTTTTAGCATATAAATCTATGTTAGCATACTGTAATTTTTATGTTTAAAGCCTGCTTTACATAATTTTCTGATTTCTTTTTTTTAAAAGAGTATTTTTTATTATTCTAAAGAGAGACAATTTTTAACACATTTTCCCAGAAATACTTGAAGCAGGTTACATAAGAATATATGTACAATGAAGTTTAAGGGTAGAAAGGTAGGGATAACAAATCATAGACTAAAGCCAGGTGTCCTCAGTGAGCACATGTCCTCAATGCCAGCACCTGGGAGGCAGAGCCCAGCAGATCTCTGAATTCAAGGCCAACCTGGTCCACTCAGTGAGCTCCAGGCTAGCTGGGGTCATGGGGAGAACATGTCTCAAAAAGACCAAGAAAAAAAAAAATCAACAAAGGATTTGCCAACGTGGGGTCAGCTTTCATAGAATAATGAAGGTTCCCACTAGTTTATTGGCCTTGCTAATAGAGCATAGGGTGGGGGTTTATTTGCAGACGAATGGGTGTCCCCCATTTGCAACTGTGCTGGAAAGCCCACACTCAAATATAGATCCTGTGATTTCCCGACAGCCACACAGAATGGCGAGTGAGGTGCCTCCTGGCATCCTCAGCTTATATGTCCTTAGCCCCTCCCCCACATGCAGCTAAGGTCGACTGATTGGGTGGGAGGAGTAACTGACTCCCCCTCAACTCCTTGATAAGCATGGGAAGGAGGTGTGATTATAGCTTGTCTGCATAGTGGTTGTAATACACTTCAGCTAACACTCCACCCCTTCCTCTGGCTCTTACATTCTTTCCTTCAACCTCTTCCACAAAAGTCCCCAAGCCTTGGAGGGGGTGGTGGGTGTGGGATGATCTTTCTCCCATTATGTAGTAAGGCACTGAACTTTTGGGTCTCTGCATTGTCTGTTTTCCATGGGCTGTTGGCCCATTTCTGTGGGATTCCATCTACTATAAAAACACAAACAGCAAGAAGCAAGAACATCTAAACAGTGGCTGATACAACTTAACATATGGGAGAAAACACAAATGCTTAGACAGTACTTTAGCAGGTGCATCATATCCATCTAACAAAACAACTGCAGTGGCTTCTGACTGGGGCCCATATTCTCCCCTGCCACAAGGGGGTTGGCCTGTTCTACAGTATCAGATGTGTATTCCACCCCTAGGAGTGGATATTATATCCAATCAAAAATTTGCTGGTTGTACATACACTAGATGTTTGACTATTGCACCAATAGGAACATATTGTTTGGTATGTTGATAGTGCAACTAGCTGGGTCCATCGCTGAGCAGAATTTTAGGGGATGATTCTCCCCTAGTCATCTGCATATTGCCTTTTGGCACATGAAAGCCATCCATCCAGTAGCAGGGAGTTTCCAGCTTAGTCCAAGCTTGATTTCTCCCTCTCTTGTGCTCACATCATGCAGTGCCTTCAGCAATAGGGTTTTTCTGTCCACTTACGGTGTAGAACCAAAATTATTGGCAATGGCTTTTATTGTCTTGGGGACCTCCAGGGTCCCTCAGGCCAACAGCTCATGGTAGAGCAATCCACTTCTGGCACTGAGATTTTCATTTAACAATCGTATTGCTTCTAGAAGGACTTTCTTCCATCCCCCTAGGGTTCCTTCTGTGTTTTTTTTTTTTTTGTTTTTTTTTTTCTGTGTATCTGGAGAACCTTTTTCTTTATTCCCATAGTTCTTTGTATAGCCCTCCTTTATCACCCTTTTACATATTCTTCCCTAGTAACACCTCTATCCTACTGTTCTCTCTCAGATTCCTTCTTTCCCTTTACCTCCCTGTTTCCCTTCCATATTACTGGTACCTGCAGTTGCATCAGGATTTGTACTCACTTAAAGGATTTGGTGCTAGGATCCACAAATGTGGGAGAACATACATCTTTAGTTTTTCTGAGTCTGTGCTACTTTACTTAGTATAACAGTCTCTAGATCCATTAATTTTCCTGCAGATTTTATTATTTCATCTTTATTGCTGAATAGAACTCCATTGTGTAAATGTACCACATTTTCATTAACCACTTGTCGGTTGAGGGGCATTTAGGTTTGTTTCATTTCTTAGCTATTGTGAAAAGAGCAGCAACAAACATGGTTATACAAGTGTCTCTACAAAAGGATGAGCCCTTTGGTTATATACCAAGGAGTGGTATAACTGGGTCATATGGTAGGTTCTTTTTTAGTTTAAGAGTTCTCCACACTGTTTCCATAGGAGTTGCACCAGTTTGCAATTGTACCAGCAGTGAATGAGTGGTTTCCTTTCTCCACATCCTTGCCAGCATTTGGTATCATTTGTTCTCTTGATCCTAGCCAGTCTAACTGGGGTAAGGTGAAGCATTAAGGTCATTTTTATTTGCACTTCCCTAATTACTAACAATGTTGAACACTTTTTAAGATGTTTCTTAGCCATCTTTATTTCTTCTTTTGAGAACTCTCTGTTCAGGTCCTTAGCCCATCTTTTAATTGGGTCATTGTCATTTGTTTTCTTGCTTCTTTGTTTTTTAAGTTCTTTATATATTCTAGATGATAAACTACTGTCAGATGTGTCACTGGTGAAGATTTTTTCACTCTGTGGGTTTTCTCTTCAGTTTCTTGATTGTTTCTTTTGCTGTACAGAAGCTTTTTAATTTAACGATGGCCCACTTGTTGATTGCTGACCTTAATTCCCGAGCAACTGCTGTCTGATTTAAAAAATCCTTTCCTACACCTATATCTTGTAGGTTACTGCCAATATTTTCTTCTAATAATTTCAGGGTTTCCAGTTTCACATTGAGGTCTTTGTGCAAGGTGAAAGATAAGGATCTAGTTTCTTTCTTCTTCAGGTGGAGATCCAGTTTTGCCAGCACCATTTTGTTGAGGATGCTGTCTTTCCTCCATTGTGTGTTCTTGGCACCTTTGTCAAATATCAGATGGCTGAAATTGGATGTACTCAGGTTTGGGTCTTCAGTGATGTTCCATTGATCTGTGTGTCTATTTTTGTGCCAGTAGCATGCTGTTTTTATGACTATAGCTCTGTAGTATACTTGGAGATCTGTTATAGTAATCCCCCCAATGTTGCTCTTGTGCTTAGGGTTGCTTTGGCAATCCTGGCTCTTGTGTACTTCCATACAAATTTAAAGATTTTGTTTCTAATTCTGTGAAGTGTGTCAGTGGGGATGTTGATTGGGATTGATTGAGTGTGTATATATTGCTTTTGGTAGGGTGGTCATTGTCACGATATTGGCAATGTTGGTTCTTCCAATCTCTGAGCATGGGAGGTCCTTCCATCTTTTGGTGTCTTCCTTATTCTCTTTAAAGATTTAAAATTTTTGTTGTAGAGATCTTTGATGTCTTCAGTCAGGTTTATTCCAGTCCATTCCGAGATGTTTTATTTTTTTGTAGCTATTGTGAATGGGATTGTTTCCTTGCACTCTTTTTCCAATTGCTTGTTATTGGTATATAGAAAGGCTACTGATTTTTGTAGATTAATTTTGTAACCTGCCACCGTACTGAAAGCTTTGATCAGTTCTAGGAGTTTCCTGGTGGAACTTTTGGGATCTCTTAGGTATAGTAGCATATCATCTGCAAAAAGGGATAATTTAACCTCTCCTTTTTCAATTAGGACTCCTTTAATTTCCTTCTCTTTCTTGTTATATTACACTAGCAAGAGTTTCAAGCACTATGTTGAAAAGGAGTGGAGATAGTAGACATCCTTGTCTGGTTCCTGATTTTAATGGGAATGCTTCCAGTTTTTCTCCATTTAGAATGATGCTGGCTGTGGTTTTGTTGTATATAGCTTTAATTATGTTGAGGTATGGTCCTTCCAGTCCAGTTCCCTTTAGAACTTTTATCATGAATGGATGCTGAATTTTTTCATTTAATTCAGGCATCTCTCTGTTTATTCTTTGTCCAGTTGACCTGTCCAATGGAAAGAATGGGGGTATTGAAGTCCACTGTTATTACTGAGTTGGGGTTAATCTGTGTCTGAAAGTCTTGTAGTATTGTTTTTATGAATTTGGGTGCACCAGAGTTTGGTGCATATATGTTCATGATTGTAATATCTTCTTGATCAGAATGAAGTGACCCTCCTTATGTTTTCTGGTTAGTTTTACTTTGAAGTCTATTTTCTCAGATACTAGAATTGTAACCCCTGCTTGTTTCTTAATGCCATTTGCTTGGAATATTCTTTTCATCCTTAAGGTAGTGCCTCTCGTTGAAGGTGAGATGGGTTTCTTGCAGACAACAAAAAGATGGATTTTGCTTCTTTGTCCATTCAACTAGCCTTTGTCTTTTGACTAGGGAGTTCAGTTCATTGATATTTAAGGTTATTATTGAAAGATTTGTGTTGGTTGCCATCATTTTGAGTACTCTTTGCATTCTTTGTCTAATTTTGTGTTTCCACAATTATACCTTCATTTAGTTTCTTTCATTGCCCCTGGGGTATAGTTGTAACTTTCTCTGTTCTTTGTATTGCTTCAAGTATTCTTTGAAAGGCTGGTTTTGTGGACATGTATTCTTTCAGGCTCTTCGTGTCAAGGAAAGCTTTCCCTTTCTCCTTCAACTATAATAGACATTTTTGCTGGGTAAAGTGTTCTGGGCTGGCATCTATGATCATTTAGAACTGGAAATACCTTGGTCCAGGGTCTTCTGGCTTTCATAGTTTGCATTGATAAGCCAGTTGTAGTTCTGATGGACTTTCCTTTATATGTGACTTGTTGTTTTCCTTTATATGTGACTTTGTTTTGCGCTGCTTTCAGTATTCTCTCCTTGTTCTGTACATTTAGTGTTTTTACTATGATATGCCATGGAGAGTTTCTTTTCTGGTCTTGTCTATTTGATGTTCTATGTGCTTTTTGTATTTGTATTTCCCTTAATTTTGGGACACTCTCTTCTACAATCCTGTTTAAGATCTGGTCAGTACCATTAACCTGAACTTCTTCTCCTTCCTTTATGTCTATGATACCTAGGTTTGGTCCTTTCATGGTGTCCCACATCTCCTGCATATTTTATTCCTGTGTTTTTTAAAGATTTTTCATAATCTTTGTTTGAGCAGTCCAATTCTTCAACTTTATCCTCCAGTGTTGATATTCTGTTTTTCATTTCATTCATTCTAGTGATGAGCCTTTCCCCTGAGCTATCTCCCTACCCCTTCAGCTGTTTCTTTTTTTTTATTTTATTTATTTATTTATTTATTTATTTATTTATTTATTTTTTTTGTCTTTTTGACATTCATTCATTCATTTATTCATTGTAGTGCTGGGGATGAAATCGAGGGCTTCAGGCATGGAATGTGTTGTATTACTGGGTTACACCACCATCCCATTCCAACTGTTTCTTTTTTTAAGAAAGTATTCTATTTTTATTTTTTATGTATTTGAGTGTATTTCCTGCATGTATGAAAGTGCACCCATGTCATGCAGTGTCCATGGAGTTCAGAAGAAAGTGTTGGAGTCCCTGGGAACTGGAGTTACAGACAATTGTTAGCTGCCATATGGGTGCTGGGAATTGAACCCAGGTCCTCTGCAAGAGCAACCAGTGCTCTTAACCACTGAGCCAACTCTCTAGCCCCCTTAATATATATATTTTTTGTTTATTATTTTTAAGTGTATGAGTATATTGCCTTCATGTTATGTTAGTGCACCTATGTCATAACATTGCCCACAAAGGTCAGAAGAGGGTGTCGGATCCCCTTTAACTGAAGTTGTGGATGGTTGTTAGCTGCCATGTGGGTGCTGGGAACCAAAACTAGGTCCTCTCTAAGAGCAACCAGTGCTCTTAACTGCTGAGCTATCTCTACAGCCCTTATTTCTTATTTTTTGAAATGAAATAGAATTAAATTATCTTTTAAAAGCTTTCGATACATAATAATGTCATTGGGATTTTGGATTGAAATAACCATCCCCTTTGTATCATAAATTTATGTCTAACTGACTTTTGCTTCCTTCTTCATGGTCAAGAGTACTGATGAAATCTCCATCTCCAGCCTTACATCCACCTCAGAAGTATAAAGATAGAGGAATTTTACATCCTAAACGGAGCAGTGATGACCGATCAGATCAATCCTCTGTGAAATCTGCAGACAGCAGCAGTTACCCAAGTCCTTGTGCTAGCCCTTCTCCTCCATCCTCAGGAAAGGTAGAGTATCTAAAATAGGTCTAGTAAGAAACAGCTTTATAATTGTGGCCTGTCTTGTAATTATTACCATCTTAATGCACTTTAAATCTTCACAGGCTATTTATTAATGGCCTGTAGCCATGCAGTCCATCATTTCTTTTTTATTCTCTAGGAACAACAAAAATTGTCTTGATATTAATTTTTGTTTATTGTGACAAACTTAAATGTTAGTTTCTTTGAATTGTTTTTTTGTGATTCAATGGTTATTTTAAAATACATAAAAGTAAAGTTAAAAGAGTAAAAGACAAACATGTTGGGGTTAGAAAGATAGGAAATGGGGCTTGAGAGATGGCTCAGTGGTTAAGAGCTCTGATTGCTCTTGAAGAAGACCCAGGTTTGGGTCCCAGCACCCATATGGCGGCTAAGAACCATCCTTAACTCCAGTTCCAGGGGAATCCGATGCCCTCTTCTGACCTCTGAGGCATTGCACAATTCGGGTGCACTCACATACATGCAGGCAATACACTTGTGCACATAAAATAAAAATAATAAAAAAAAGTAAAGATAGGAAATGTTGATACGGAATTAAAAACTATCTTTTAAAAAATGGTAATATGAAGCTGGGCATGGTGACGCATGCCTTTAATCTCAGCACTTACAAGGTAGAAACAGGTGTTTATAAAGTCAAATTTGAGTCCCCAAATGCCCTTCAATGTGGGTTCATCCACTGGAGCCTTTTTAGTACCAAGGGAGAATTGTTAGCCTACCATTAAACAAGACTAACTCACCCTTCCAGCAGCCATCCATTTCCAAATACTTCCTCAGGGTTGGGGTTTTTACTCACTTTCCCAGGTCTATGCTGGGATTTTGTCTGGCTTAAGATACCATGGGACTTACGCATGGTGTCACCATTGCTGTGATAGGAGTAACTGACCAGCTGTCTGGAAAACTCTTGTTTCCTGTGGTCATCAAATACCTCTGGTTCTTAGAATATCTTCCACAATGGTCCCTGAGCCGTGGGAGACAAAAGTTTGATAGAGGTGTCCTATTCAGGGATAAGCACTCTTCAGTCTCTTATTCTCTGCATGTCAGTTATGGTTCTCTGTGTTAAATCACTATCTGCTGCATAAGGAAGCTTCTCTGCTGAGAGCTGACAGATATACTCACTCTTTTGAAGATGTTGACCAGAGGTACTATAGACCCTCAAGCAATACCTGGCCATTGACCTTGCTGTTGGTTACCCACCATAATTTGATGGTAAGGGCCTGTTGCCGAAGACACTGCATACAATGAGCTATAGAATGAATAAGGAGAAACCAAGCTGGTGCTAACTTTAGAGCCTCATCTCTACTGGCTAGCGTTCATAGTGCTGGAAGGTGCTATTCATGCTACAAGAAGAAAACATTAATCATCATGCTTATCCAGCTGTGAATCCTATGAGCTACAGTAGCTGACCTGGCAAGATATACCCACCTGTGCAATAGTGGCATGAATGTTATGGGAGTAACCAACCACCTTCAAATTGAATTTAAGGTCTACTTCATAAGATGGAGCCCATACCTGACATTGATATCACTCCTAGGAAACTGAGGCTAGGCAGGTCTCAGGCCATAGAGGAGAACCTAATACTATTATTCTGCTACATAGCTATAGTATTAAACTGACTCCTAATGGCTTGTTGTTATACCCATAGATTAATGCATCTCTCAACAATATATATACATACATATATATGTGTGTGTGTATATATTTATATTTATATTTATATTTTGTCTTTTTAAGACAGGGTCTCCCAGTAGCCCCAGCTGGCCTGGAACTCACTATGTAGACCAGGCTAGCCTTGAACTCACAGAGATCCACCTGTCTCTGCCTCCCAAATGCTGAGATCAAAGGCATACACCACCATGCCTAGCTCAAAAATATTTTTTAGATCTCAAGTTTTATATAATCTATCAATATTATACTTGTTTGTTAATTTGTCACTATTATGCATATATTTTAAAATTTCTTTTTCTGTTTATTTTTTTTAATTTTTATTTTTATTTTATGTGTATGCATGTAATTGCCTGCATGTAGGTAAGAGCACCCGTGTCTTGCAATGCCGGCGGAGGACAGAAGAGTTTTGTTATTTTTTATGTGTATAAGTGTATTGCCTGCATGTATGTAAGTGCACTCGCGTTGTGTAATGCCCATGGGGAGGTCAGAAGAGGATGTCAGATTTCTGGGAATTTGAGTTATAGATGGCTGTTAGCTGCCATGTGGGTGCTGGGAATTGAACCCAGGTCCTCTGCAAGAACAGTCAGTGTTCTTAACCGCTGAGCCATCTCTCTAGCCCTATTATTTTTGTGTATGAGTGTATTGCCTGCATGTAGGTAAGTGCACCTGTGTCGTGCAATGCCCACGGAGGGCAGAAGAGGCTGTCAGATCCCCTGAGACTGGAGTATGGACAGTTGTTAGCTGCCATGTGGGTTCTAGGATTCGAACCTGGGTTTTCTACAAGAACAGCCAGTGCTCTTAACTGCTGAGCCATCTCTCCAGCCCAGATGTTCTCTATCTTACAC